ACAGGTTTTGAAACGTATTCTCGACGCGTCTTCGTCAAGTTGCTGACTGATTTTTGCAGAAAGGCTGAAATTGCCAGAAGCTCGCCGAGTTCAAGATGAACCATTGTTTTGTTAACCTTTTCTTGAACGATTTTATCTAGATCGTACATTTCTTGAATGTCCGACGTGAAATGATACAAAGGAGCCGACTTAGCTTTAGTATTCGCGTCTTTCATCTCAACGTCTTTAGTTTTTGCTGGTGGCGCACGACGATTTTTGAAAGCATCTTCTGTGTTTACCGCTGGAGGCCGTAAGTTGAAAGCTTGAGGCGTTGACTGAACCGTGGGAGGTCGTAAATTAAAGGCCTGAGGTGTTGACTGAACAGGACCGTTTGCTGGCCTAAGGTTACTAAGCGTAGGAACGGGTGTTTTATTCAGATTCTCTTTTGGCTTAGGAACGGACTTAGCTTCGGCTGGTCGCCTCTCTGGGCGCTTGATGGGATCGAAACGAGTTTCCTTGTCTTTTTGAGATCGAGTTACGGCTAATGTCGAAGAGGGGGATGCCGCCCGCCATTCAGGGACGACAGAAGAAGGCGAAGCGTTGAAGACTTCAGAGGATAGAACCTCTTCTCCATCGAATAACAGACCGGCGTAGTTGGCCATATGGGGAGGTGGGTCTCTAGAAGCCTCCCGGGCCTTACCTTTTAAATGGCTTGAAGCGGCGGCATGTTGTTCTCGTAAGACCTTCGCAACTCCACCGTCACTTCCAAAAGCTCGAGGAAGTTCAGACCCATCTGGGCGCGCTAACCTACCTAAGGGGGTGTAAGCAACTAAACCTTCTTTAATACATACCTCGACTTCTGGACAGAACTTGAGTCCAAGGCAGTGCGTTGTCTTATCGCAAAAGAAACACCTGGCTTCCCTCATAATTTGTTGGTTAGTCAGATTAGGGTTCGGAGTGATATTGACCGAGCGTAAAAACTCAGCGTGAGCAAGTCTTAAATCCTCCATCTGTTTAGTGATTCGGTCTACTGGACTAAGATCCACCGGCTCGACTATCGGCACTGCGGGTACGGTCTTCTCGAAAGCCACCTTTTTCAAAGGCTTCTTCTTTTTCTTCGTCAAGATCACCGTGTCGATGTCTTCGTCGGAATCACTCGAGCTCGAGTCTGAATCAGACTCTCGGTCAACGCCTACATACGTTGTCTTCGCGTCCAGGTCTTCGTCGTCAAACTCGGTCCTTAATAAGCTAAGGAGGGTTGCCGTTGTCGGAGGCGAGGAAGTTTTGAGATTGGCGGCCGGTATACGTTTCTTGATCCGAGCATGTAAAGACGTCGGGATTCCTCTGTAAAAACAAAGATGAACTTCATTAGCCAACATCTTGTTCGGAGCTAAATCCGCAGATAAAGCTGTAAAATCTCGGTAATACTTGTCTACTTCTTTGCGAGAAGTTAAGATACCCGACTCTCCATGCTTGGAGCACCATTGGCGCAACCGATCTGGGGAGTTGAGAGGGATGGAATCGTTCGACCCATAAAGGTCGTCCAAATACACCCTCACCGCAACCCAGTCGTCTCCAGACAGTAACAAAGATGAACCGATAACCATCCGAACTTTTGAATGACAATATCTGAGAACATAACCAGGTAAAAGTGTATGTGAAACTCGCGCGCTGTCCGCATGTTGTTCCAGCACGTCTAAAAAATCCGAAACGTGCCTCCCTTTAAACTTGGGAGCTCCCGGCATTCCCGGAGTAGGCATAGGGACGCCCAACGTAGCATTGAGACTGGTATCAGAAGAAGAAGACACAACTGGTTGTTTGGAAGATGAAGACTGGAGTTCGTTGTTAGGACTCATGACGAAAATTTAAGGAGAAAATTTAAAATGAAAGAAGGGTAATTGAAGAAAGGACTTAGCGTATACGTGGACGACGAATCGAGAGTGACAGAATGAATATATGCGCCTGAAAACAGAGTATTCAGCACAAAAATGTTGATGATAACCGTACCAAATGCGAATCAGGAGATTTATTGAGTGTATACGTCCGTCTAAAAACCGAGTTTTCAGCGCAAGGACGAAGATATGGAACGTACCAAACGAGTTTTTGATACTTGATGAGGAAGTAGAGTGGAAAACCAATCCCCTGTCTCGGTCACCACTGTGGAAGAACGAAAGTTCAACAGCAAGAGACAGCAACTGGTCGTCTACCAAAATAAGGAGGGGAAAGAAAGGAACGAGAGAAAAAGGGACAAAGGAATGACGAAAGAGGCACTCAGCGTCTAAGCGTGTGAGTACGTGTTTGGACGCGTGTCGTATAAACTACTTGTAGGCGATGGCGTGAGAGTCCACGGCGAGTATCAGAGAATTTTGAAGTCTTTTTGGTCGTCGTCGTTCTTGAGGGTTCTTGAAAATCTTAAAATCTTAGAAGAGGGACAATACTTGGAGAGGGAAAAAGATCCAGCTCCATTCGCAAGGTGGGAGGACACCTTAAGTACAAAAATAATTATCACAAGGCATCTGCACGTACTCGCGTGCTGCCTGTCCAGAAAAGTTCTAAAGAAAAGAAGACATTAAAAGAATAAAAGTAAAAATAGATTGTGACGCATCCCGTCAAGTTCCTCCGCCGAACCGTTGGACTGGGAATAACTCGGGGAGCTAATCGACGCTGAGAGAGGCCTATTTGCGTACGCGACTGCCCCCCTCAGTGCGGGCTTCACAGCCGTCGACGCTTCAACCCTACCATCCAGTCCTAAAGCTCGGTTTTGGTCCCCAAAAGGATTTGTCGTAAGTAACAAATAACAGCGAATAAGGAGAAAAAATAAATTCAAGCGTACGAAGACGAAGGTTTGAAGGCCGATCCTATGAAGATTGCTGATCGAAAGGTAAACGGAGATGACGTCATCAAATCCAGCAAGTTGTCCTTCGACGCGTTTGAGCGCACTGCAGTTGTAATCAATTTCGAGTATCTGAATCTTGACTTCGAATCCTAAAAAAGTAAAAGACTCTAAAATAAAAAAGTAAAAACCGTAAAAACTAGCACGCATAAAAAATAAAGAAATAAAGGAAGTGCCGTGAGTAGTACACTCTGCACTTCCACAGCGAGGACATTAGAGGGTTAGCGTCGTTCTAGTAGTAATTACTACCATTGTTTCTATCAAATATCAGAAATCTATTCACTTTTGCCTACTTTTAAGCCCCTTTCAAGTCACCTTTTGAAAGCTGCACCTCTTTCATGGTCCCCTTTTGAACCACTTTCAGCCCCTTTTGTCCCTTTTGAAAGCGGAAATCCCTTTTCAAACAATATGGCCTGGGCTTCCAAAAGCGGAAACGCTTTCATGCTTTCACGCTTTCAAAAGCGGTGAAAGCGGCTAAAGCCGGACTTGTAATTTTACTGAAGTTGAGGCCAGACAGTGCCACCCGTGCAAGGCAAACAATACGATAACTCAACGATAACTGTCGCGTTCGGACAGAAGAAACGAGGAAGGTTCAAAATAGATTTGCAAGAAGTCCCTCGGTACGAATTGCTTCTGTGTAAATAAAGAGTTCCTCGTGAAGGTTGAGGAAAGCTTGAGCAAATCCTGAGCGTCGTTGAATCTGAGAAAATGTGAAAGTTTTGTGTGTAGTCTAACTCCAATCTAACTCTGCCTTTCAGGTCGCATCCAAGTTTTTTGAAGCCAGCACCCCAAACTACAACGACGAAAAGACGAAACACTCTTGGATGATTGAATCTATCACTCGACAAACCCCTTCTCTAAATGTCCTCTATATGCTCATAAGTACTGTTACAGTGAACCGGCAGCCCTTGACCAAAGCTTGACACACTAAGATGTTTTCTGGACCTTTTTCTCCGCACTCGCCAAAAATTTCGGTACACTGTATTACGGAAAAGCTTAACACCGCAACACTTTCATAAACGCCAATTTTTACCCTGCCGAATCGTCGGGCGATGACCTACTTACGAAAAATTGGGTAAGAAAGGAAACAGGTCCGTTTTTATTTTTATTTTTGTCTTTTGCTGCAAGGCCAATTGCTGTCGGGGTACTAGTCTCGCTGCTCTTGAAAGTACCCGCCCCAATTCACGATCCATGATCAGCGATCGCGTTGGGTAAGCGGCACCGAGGCGATAGTGGCGGAGGCCAGAGGCACGATCAGCCTTCGTGAAAGCCTGGAAGATGGAGGCGTTGAAGTAAGAACTGGAAGGGAACCAATTTCGGCGGAGTAGCTTTAGAATAGGTAGACGAGAACAGCGCTGAAGGAGCAGAAGCAGGGGGCGCTGGGGATAGGACAGGCAGAAGATCTTCAAAGATAAATGTGAAAAATTCCCCGAGTGCGGTGAAAACGTAAATTTTGTGGGTTGAATAATCATCTAAGAGTTTGGAGGCTGGGAGACGTGGAAATCTGCCGGTTACGGCCTCAAAGCAGATCATCGAAATAACTCGAAGAGAAAAACGCAGAAATAACTCGAGTAGCCCCGCCGCCGGGGTCAAATTGGCGTTACTCGCCAGTCGATGAACAAAGTTCCGCCACGCTGGTGATGATACCTCGGCTCACGATGGTTCAATGCCGTTACAGGACGTCATTTAGGCGGTTGTTGCCGGAAGGGATAAGCGGTTCGGATCCCCCACGTATTGCCAGCTAGTCTTCAAAGCTTCATTTTCTTTGTCGTGTGCGCTTCCGACCCTTGCTTTAGAGTTATGCACGAGTCTGACGTCACGAATGACGTTTGGAGGCTTACTATGCTTTTTACGCCTTATAGCTTTGCGCTGCCTTTATCCCAGGGTATTTTTTGCAGTCGAAAACGCGCTCCACAGATTCAGGGCTGGCGACGGCCGTGGTCTGCCAGTGCATTGTGATCCTACTGAAAAAAGAAAAAAAAATTTAGATCGCCGAATAAAACTACCTCGGAGAAAATGGAACTTGGAAGCAGCGCATTAGGCGTATTCATGTGGCCCTATTCACTCAAGGCATTTTCTTGATGATCAAAGCTCCGTCACGAAGGTATTATATCGGCGACGGCACATGATGCTCAACGTTCTTCCAAGGCCTGTCAGTGGGCGTGATTGGGACGCGTATCTCAGCGTGCGCTGCGTGTCCTCCTTTGTATCTGAAACTTTACGTTTCGTCTAGTCTCAGTTGCTCCTTGACAATTTTTCGGATCGAAAACGGGACTCCATAGGTCATTCCGACCATGTCGGATTCGGAGTGAAGATTCCGGTGGCGGTCTGCCTTGTGCCCTACTGGCGTGAAAACACGAGTTTGTTAGAACGGTATATAAAATTTATACGCACATTGAGGAGCTTTTTAAGAGAGTTAGAGATTGGAACGGAGCGGGAAACAAGGTCCGCTTAGGTCCGCTTAGTGAAACACGTGAGTTGAATGCTTGGCATCCCCCAAGTTGGCTTTCGCAGCCGTTGTTCTGATCGTCTTCCACGCTTTTTTCTCAGAGGCGCTTATTTCTTACCCCGTCGAGCAAGACGACGTCCTCAACGATTGCGACGACTTCCACTCACTCATTTCGCCGGACGCAGCCAGCACATCGTCCTCGACGACTAGGCCACTCACGCACGCCGTTTAGTGGGGAAGGACAATAACAACAAGAGAATATCACCCTACGGACATGGCGAATAAGCTGTCTCGAACAGAGAGAGACAGCGAGGTGGCACGGATAATGCTACATACAAAGGTACGCGACCATTGATAGTCTAGTGAATGTCAAACGACTTAAATTTACCAATCGAGCAGACAAGTTACGGCATTCTTCCGACGCCCCCATCTCCAACGCAAACCTCACCAACACTAACGCAGTCGACCTCCAATTCCGCCTCAAACTCGTCCAGCTCACCACCAGGCCCAACAACACCGCCTCGTCAAAGTCGATCACGTACCCGCTACGGCGATCTTGGCCGCGTCCCACTTCACCGGCGAGGGACGTCCAAGACCTATGAGCGGCTCGAAGACTTGCTGAAAGAGGCCGGGTACAAGGAAACGCGTGTCTTCACACCGGAAGGCGAACGTGCGGAAGAACACGGTGGCACTCGTAACGCAAACGACCACAGCAACAACCGGATTAGCGGCATGAGTGCCGTTGTGGGCTTCCTTGCCGGTTTGATGCCTAACAATGCTACGAATAGCCATAGTAGGCCCGCGAGTTTAGTGAGGACGAATTCGGGGGATACCACCGTGGTTCCTAGGCGTCGCTATTCCCCGCCGGAATCGCCATCGCCGTTTCCGCACCACCGTGCACAGACACCTACGACGGATATGTCGTCCTCGATTGAGAGCCTGGGTGAGCCAACTCCGCGACCTATGCGTAGGCCACCGTCAAGGTCGAGTACACCGCAACAACACCATCGACCGCAACTAGCCCATCGGACGTCAAATAATAATACCCACACCAACTCATCCTTCCATCGCCAACTGCCCCACCAACCTTCGCACACCTCATTACACCCCCACCTCCCACCGTCTCCTCATCATCCACCCTTACAAATCGCACACCCCAGACCCTCCCGTGCAGGCGCGTACCTGCGACACATGGCCTCTGCTTCAAGTATCCCCCAACGACCCAGCTCGACGCCCGTGAAGCGTAGCACGAACAGCAGCGACGGAGGAGGGGAAGAAGAACACAGTGAACCTCCTCTCCCGCCTACATGGCTCGAGAGCGTCGCGCGCGCGGTGATGTTTGGTGGTTCGGGTGCGTACGTTGGTGGCCCGCATGCGCATTCGCATTTGAGCTTGGTCGATGGCAGTGGGAAGTATCATCATAACCACCAACATCAACAACGGACGTTACGCACGACGAGGAGTTCGTTATCACAGGTGTCTGCGAAGGGGTCTCAGAAATATAAAGCGCAACGAAGCGGATTGTCGGACCACACCAACACCAATACCAACACCCATTCCACATTCCTCGCCCCTCCCCCGTTGTTAGCCCAACTAGAGCGCGGTAGAGCAGGAAGGAGCGAAGGTGAAGTGAGCAAGACGCGTGTTTTATGTCGGAGTGCGCCTGGGAGTCGGGCGGGGTCACTTGTCCGTGACCGGGAAGAGAAACCTAATAAGACCCCTCGGTTCATCAGGGGCAAGAGGAAGGGTGAGGATCTCGTTCCGAGTTTGGCGAAGACGCAGACGGAGGGGGATAGTTGGAGTGGTGCGAGTTTGAGGAAGGGGGGTGGGGGTGATAGGGATAGGGATAGGTATCTTGGTGCATGGGGAGCGGGGTTGGATGATGATGATGATGATGATGATCAGGAGCACGCCCAGGGAGGTGGTGGGTTGAGCTCTGAAGAGGAAGACGACGGCGAGTTGGATCTAGCGAGGATACTCGTCCATCCGAAACGGCAGAACTCGATCAGGAGCCTGAGGAAACATTTACATCACGCGCTTGCTGATAGTGCTGGTGTGTCCTTGAATCCCCACCTGGTTGGTGGTGCTGGTGCTGCTGCGGGGAGGGGTATGAATGTTGGCAGGGTTTCGAGGCGGCCTACCACGACGGAGGAAGATTGGGATGGGGAGGTTGAGGAGGCTTGGAGTGGGTATGATGATGATGATGGGTTCCCTACGAGGGGAAGTGGGAGGAGTGGAAATGGGAAGAATAGGTTGGGGATACCTGCTTGGGGGAATCGTTGAGTTGCGCGACCTTTTCCTCTGCGACGACGGCGACGACGACAACGACCTTCAACGGCCCCCCCATCGGGAATTTATTCAACTCAAAGCAACAAATCAAGCAAAAACACAAAGTAATGTATCCACAGATTCTTGTTCAGATGCGCATCATAGACTTTCTTTTTTGACGAACACACCCATGCACAGATTTAACGACCTCTCCTTACGTTCTTCTTATTCCTAACCTATACCTATCGTTCATGCCTTCAAGGCACCTACATTCATTCGTTCATGCCATACTATCGTCTATCGCCCTCTACCATCTTTTAATTACAATCATTTATCAAGGGGTTCACTTTGCATTTCGCCATGCTGTACATACTAGATGCATTACACTCATTCATTCACGCTCATTCTTAGTACTCTAATTATTATATGTTACCTCCGTCTCGTTGGGTGGGCTGGCTTTCGTTTTGATCAGATATGAATGGTATGACTGACTTTGTACAAAAAAACGCCTTGAGTTGGGATTCCTAGCATAACTGTATACAGACTGTACAAAACAGTAATGACCTAAGTTGCGTAAAAATTTTAGCCTTGAGTTGGGATTAATGATTCCTGAGATAATTGTACAAAAGAAAAATAACTTGAGCTGCACCATGGAACCAAGGATCCTGGAGTAACTCCTCCGCCGTTGCTCGGTCCTCCGGATTTAAGCGCAAACACCTCCGCATAAGAAGTGATGTTGCAAGGTTATCTTTTTCCTCCATCACCTTATAGTTCCTAATAGACAGGGGATAAGGGTGATTGATTTTGGGCGGATGTGCCTTCAGGTCACCTGGAAGTTTGTTGCGTAAGTATACAACAACCAGTGTAAGTTAATCGGACAGAAAAGACAAACAGAACATGGGGTTGTCAACCGCGGGTTCAAAGTAGTGAGCCCCAAGCTTGCTTGTGTTTACTCGGTCGCATGTCATGCGCTCGCATGAGAAGCAGAGCATTTGCCAGAGATGCCCTGTTGGTTCGTCGAGCTTGTGTTCTGGATAAGGTTTATATTTGAACAAAGAGGAACCAGTGGTAAGCTCGAATATCTGAAGATTTGATTTCAGCCAGTGGGTGGAAGTAAGTACCAGGGTAAGGCAACGCACCAGACATCCAAATGCCCAGATATCAACCTTAGTATCCCATGGGCCCCGAAGAATGATTTCTGGGGCACGAAGGGGGAAGGGAGTGATCTTATCGGTAGTCCGTAAGTCTAAAAGTTGCGCTACAGGATGTCAACTTGAATGCTGCGAGCTCACAGTCGGGAAATCAAGCTATCACTCACCGCTGCCGAAATCTGCAACCATGTAGTTGCGGGTCATAGCCTCAGAGGGCGAAGGGAGAGGGAGTGGTTGGGAGACGCCTGCTTGAACGACGCATTGCCAGCTCTCTTCGGGAGGGTGGCGCCGAGCCGGGTTCATCTTGATGAAGGTTTCGATGTCGTCCCGTGTCATCGGGCCAATGTCAAACATGATATTGTCGTGTTTGAGATCCGCGTGCACGACACCACAGTGGTGTATATGAGCGAGACCATGCAAGACATGCAAGAGGATACGCTTTGCCAGTGGTAAAGGCAAGTGTTTACTGGTACTACCAGCGGGCTTGACGAGAGCTTTAACGTCTCCACCCATAACATCTGTGACGAGACAGAGATGTTCTCCGTCCAGACCCTTTCCGGGAAGTACGAAATTGTCAAGAAGTCAAGGCCAGTGGCCTGGCTCGATGCCAGAGGGAGGGAGCATGTGAGTCACGCAAGCCCAAGTATCGAGCTCCCACGTTAATCTTCCAGCCAGTTCGGTCGAGTATCCTTTCAGCGCTTTGATTGCGACGTATTTCTCTTCCCTGCGGGGATCATGAGCATAAAATGTGTCACGACGCTCATGTAAAATGTACTTACTTCACATCAAACGCCAACCATATGCTGGAGTTCATGCCCCACCCGAGCTTCCGAACGACCTTGTAGCGCTCAGGCTCCTCATCCGGGCCAATAGCATCACCAAATTCAACCTGAATATAGCCATGGCCTTGCTCTGCCGTTACTCCTAACGGCTCTTCCACAAACTCTAGATCAACGAATTGGTTGCCCTCTGGGTCGACAGAGACGTGTTTGTTGGTGTGGGCGTGTCGAGGTGGCGCATCCGCGTCCTTGAATACAACTTCGGGTAAGTTAGTGGGGGAGGGTCGAGGTGCCGCATCCTGGTCCACGAATACAACCTTTGGAGGCAGGATGGAGGAGTAGGTGACGTTGTGTTGTGCAGAATGGACCGCGAAAATTTCGAACGCAGGGTGTGAGTGCACGTTGCAGCTTGAACATCCCTTCAATGCACCCGTGTTCCTCGAGTTTTTTTTAATCAAAACGAGTGGGTCCCAGGTGGGTCCTTTCCTTGGCCTGCTCTGCACAAGCGTGGGGCTGGGGCCTGGCTGCGATCCATTCCGCTTCAGGTCGTCGTTCAGTGTCCCTTTTCAAAAACACCCACAATTTAAATGCCGTTCCTCGTACCCATCCTTCACCTCGCCATGCTCTTCCTCAACGTGTATGATTCGTACAAGACCCTCAAGCTCCCACCTTCTTCCAGGCGGCACGATGGACTACCGAGCGTTAGAGATATGACTCAACGGAAGAGGGATATGAAAGGTTGTTTAAACTTTACAGTTCTAACTTCTATATTTATACACCAAGCACGTGCCTATGCTTTTATCGTCTTTCCCGTTCCCCAGCGACATACCCTCTTTGATGGGTATGCTTGACCTTCTAGCACATTGGCTCTGTATGGCCCTTACAGAGTTTACGCCAAGTCCGCTGCCAGTGCTGAGCGCGCCTATTGGACTGATGATAGGTGGTGCTTTAGCTGCGCATTTCCCATGAGTCGTACAGCAGTGACCGTCGCTCTTGGAGAAGGTTTCGCGAATGAAGGTGCGGAGTGTACCCGCCAAACGCAGGAGGCTCGGCTGACATTGGGTAGCCGTCATGATGGATCCATCTCACGTCCACCCTTTTGGCGTTACCATCCCTCAACGGAGTCGCCGGAGTCGAATAGACTGCGGCGGATATCTCGAAGAAGCCTCACGTTGGCCGCGCTTACATTGAGTATCCTGGTGGCAGGCCAACTTGTGGTCCTTTGGTTTAACTGTTGATGGCCCAATCAAGGCCCTCGAGCATCTCAACTTCAAGTACGTTCATCTTCGAATCCTCTTCTATAACAGCGGTAGCTAATGACTATGTACGCAGCCGGCTCTATTCCACTGTTTTCTAATATCCCAGCGCGTTCCGGATCTCGCACCCACATCCCTACAATTGACGACGAACGGAGACCGAACTTACCCCAGAATGACTTCGCACACCACTACCATCCTCTGCAATAACGTTCCAAATTGGGCAGCTCTTCTACCGCCTCCCGTCAGTTTCTGAAGTCAAGTACGTTGTTGACTTTTTGTGCTTTTCTGGCTGATGTTGATGATCAGCAAGACCTCCTTAGTCTCTGGGTGCAGCCCTTCCCCGTTTCGGTGTGCGGTGGAGGCCCGACAGCAAATCGTTATAGAGTGCCCTCAAACCATCATATTTCTAAGGTCTCTCCACCAGCGGAAGTTACATTGTGATTCCCGGGGTTGCCATCGCATCAGCAACCGATCTTTCCCCGAGGGACCGCGAGGCGGAAAAGACCACGATGAATTTGTGCCCGCTGCAAGAGCACCGGATCGCCAACCTCATTTTTGAGGTCCGTGCCAAGGAAGGGCGAATCTCCGCCTTTTGAGAAAGAGAGGAGCATCCGAAGTTTGGTTGGGCAGGTGTGAAGAGCCAGGTGCCCGCTGTGGGTGTAGGCCTTTGGGAGAAAGAAGAGGTGATATGGCTGTCCCGGATTTTGAGAAGGGAGGAGGGAAAAGCGTGTGTGGAGGAAGTGCTGCTGCAGACGGAATCTTTGAAGACTGTCGTGGTGGATGCTCGACTACGCGGATTGTTGGGTTAAGGGCGAGAAGGTGAGTACGAGGGTTACTGCTGTCGTGAAATATTGCATGTTGACGCGGTTGCAGTGTTTCCCCGACGTTCTATTCCCCTCAAACATTTGGGTTTCTTTCCCCCGAGAGCGGGTAATGACGGATTGCGAGCGGGATTGTATCTCCGTCTACTCAAAGCCAACCTCGCCTCCGTAAACTGTAGGGTACGCACAACCATCTCACTTTTTTTCACGTTTTATCCGTCCGTTAACGTTTTTGTCACTGCAACCCCAGCTAGCGAAAACTTCGACGTCCGACGTTGCTGGAAAGGTGAGTCGAAACTCGATTGTTCAAGGCGGGTAACATTCAAGACTTCTCTTTTGTCGTAGTCGTGATCTCCTCTCGTTTTCTTTAGTGTCAGGCTTTATAGTACATCCATGAGGAAATGACACCCCAACCTGTATTATGAAGGACTCTTCCGATTCGTCTAACTACTTTACGGCCCCACCACTTCCTCCCGTCCAATCAAGCCTACAGCAAGCTAAGACTCTTAGTAAGACCCCTCCGCAACGCACTTGTGCCCACCACCCTCCTCCTCTGCCGAAGATACCTGGTGTCACCGCTGTATGGGAAGGTTTATTTTGAATTTACTCACTCGACATAAAGGTGTCATTGTTTCTTCTCACGACGAGGGAAGAGGAGAAGAAATGGCCACAGAAGGGGAGGACGAGTTTGATGGGGGTTGGTGCGGATTCTAATGATGATGAGACTCGGTGCGTTCAACGCTGCCTCTCATGAAGACGTCTCTGGCGCCGCTGACCCAGACCCAGACCCAGAACCCCCAATCCCGCGTGAACATAAACCGAAAAGGGTAGTTCCTGGGTAGGGACGTTGGGAGTAGATAGGTGTGTTTTCTTCAAAAAATTCCTATATATTTCCCCGATCTACAACGTGTGATACAAGGCCAACCCGCGTTGTATTGGGAAGGTGGATAGGGCGAATATAAAGTCCCCAATCATGAGTAGGAGTTCCAAGAATGCGTCGAGGGTGGATGTGAATGGCTTGAGGAGGGGGCGGATAATGTGTAGGTATATTGGTTCGGCGCCCTGTTGGGGTGTGTGGTCAACACGAGTTGATCCATAAAGAAACAGTTTGCGCACCCGGGCTCGTGTGAGTATGAGGAAGAGTAGAACGATACTCTTGAATTCGTCGTAGAAGGGTATGAACAAGCTAATAATAGCTTCTCCGAATCTCTCATAAACAGCAAAACAACACTATCCCACTTTCAATTCAGACGTCAGCAAACGATCTAATAACGTACCCAAACGATCCAAACAGCTAAACAACCTTTCATATCCCTCTTCCGTTGAGTCATAGCTCTAACGCTCGGTAGTCCATCGTTCCGCCTGGAAGAAGCTGGTGGGAACTTGAGGGTCTTGTACGAATCGTACACGTTGAGGAAGAGCATGGCGAGGTGAAGCATGGGTACGAAGAGCGGCATTTTGGGTGTTTCTGTGAGAGAGCACTGAACGACACCTGGAGCGGGATGGGAGCGACCGCAGCCACGCTTGTACAGAGCAGGCCAAGGAAAGGACACACTTGGGACACAGCAGGGACACACTAGTTCTAATTTTTTTAAAAACGCGACGAACACGGGATGTTCAAGTTGCAACGTGTACTCACACCCTGTGTTCGAAATTTTCGAGGTCCATTCTCCACAACACAACGTCACCTAACCCGCCCCTACTCCTCCATCCTGCCTCCAAAAGTTGTATTCGTGGACCAGGATGCGGCACCTCGACCCTCCCCCACTAACTTACCCGAAGTTGTATTCAAGGACGCGGATGCGCCACCTCGGCACGCCCACACCAACAAACACGTCTCTGTCGACCCCGAGGGCAACGAAGTCTTCGATCTAGAGTTTGAGGAAGAGCCATTAGGCGTGACGGCAGAGCAAGGCCATGGCTATATCCGGGTTGATTTGTTGATGCGATTGGCCCGGATGAGGAGCCTGAGCGCTACAAGGTCGTTCGGAAGCTCGGGTGGGGCATGAACTCCAGCGTATGGTTGGCGTTTGATGTGAAGTAAGTACAGTTTACATGAGCGTCGTAACACATTTTATGCTCATGGTCACCGCAGGGAAGAGAAATACGTCGCAATCAAAGCGCTGAAATGATACTCGACCGAACTGGCTAGAAGAGGTGTAACCTGGGAGCACAATATTTCGGTTTGCGTGATTGACACGCCACCCTCCTCTGGCGTCGAGCCAGGCCACTGGTTTCGACTTCTTGACAATTTCGTACATCCCGGAAAGGGTTTGGATGGAGAACATCTCTGTCTCGTCACAGATGTTATGGGCGGAGACGTTAAAGCTCTCGTCAAGGCCGCTGGCACTGTTACTAAACCCTTTTTCCTTTACCACTGGCAAAGTGTATCCTCTTGCATACCTTGCATGGTCTCGCTCATTTACACCACTGTGGTGTCGTGCACACGGATCACAAACACGACAATATCATGTTTGACACTGGCCCTATGACACGGGACGACATCACAACCTTCATCAAGACGAACCCGCCTCGGCGCCACCCCCCGAAGAGAGCATGCAATGTGTCGTTCAATCAGCTGTCTCTCAACCGCTCCCTCTCCCTTCAACGCTCTCTGAGGCTATGACTCGCAACTACATGGTTACAGATTTCGGCAGCGGTGAGATAGCTTGATTTCCCGAGTGTGAGCCCGCAGCATTGACGCCTACTAACCATCCTGTAGCGCAACATTTATGCTTACGGACTACCAATGAGATCACTTCTACCGTCCTTCGTGCCCCAGAAATCATTCTTCAGGGCCCATGGGATACTAAGGTTGATATCTGGGCATTTGGATGCCTGGTGCGTAGCCCTACCCCGGTATTGTACTTCCACCCGCTGACTGAAGTCAAATCTTCAGATATTCGAGTTTAACACTGGTGCCTCTTTGTTCAAATATATACCTTTTCCGGAATACAAGCTCGACGAACCGACAGGGCATCTCTGGCAAATGCTCTGCTTCACACGCGAGCGCATGCTAAGCGACCAAGTAAACTCAAGCAAGCTTGGGGCTCACTCCTTCGAACCCTCGGTTGACAACCCCATGTTCAGTTTGTCTTTTCTGTTTGGTTGACTTACAGTTGTTGTATACTTACACAACAAACCCCAGGTGACCTGAAGGCACATCCGACCATATTTAATAACCCTTTTACCTTGTCTCTTAGGAACTATAAGGTGATGGGGGAGGAAGATGTCCTTGCAACAGCAAATATTATTAAGAGGTGTTTGCGCTTAAATCCGAAGGACCGCGCAACGGCGGAGGAGCTACTCCAGGATCCTTGGTTCCATGGTGCAGCTTAAGTTATCTCAGGAACCCCAACTCAAGGCTAAGAATTTTACGCAACTTAGGTTATTTTTGTTTTGTATAGTCTGTACACAATCATCTCAGGAATCCCAACTCAAGACGAATTTTTCTACAAAGTCAAATCGTACCAATTATATTTGATCAAAACGAAAGCACGCCCACCCAACGGGACAGAGGCAACGTACAACAATTAGAGTACTAAAAATGAGCGTGAAAGAATGAATTGTGTGCTACAGATCTTCGTCGTCATCGCAGAGGGGAAAATCGCGATCGCAAACAACTCAACGATCCCCCCCACTTCTCTCAGTGCACACAAACACTAAGTACTAGTAGAGCTGTTGCTCGCGCTGCGCTCGTAAGTCTGTGTGGCTGTGCCTCCGCGCTTGGCCTTATTTTCTTGGGGCTTCCACTCGATTTCCAAAAATTTACTTTTTCACGATTGTTGTACGCGTCTCGCAGCGATGACCAAGTACATCCTCGTCTCCGGCGGTGTCGTCAGTGGCATTGGGAAGGGTGTCATTGGTATGAATCTCTTACGAAGTTTTTCAACTTCAAGCTGCAATTGGAACCCTAGCTTCGTCTACCGGACTGCTCTTGAAGACTACAGGTCTCAAAGTCACAGCTATCAAGATCGACCCGTATATGAACATAGATGCTGGGACTATGAGGCCTACGGAACATGGTGAGAGCTACTTTGGAAGGATTTGCACGGAATGCTGATGATTTGAAGGCGAGGTCTATGTTTTGAATGACGGAGGCGAGGTGGACTTGGATCTCGGAAATTACGAGCGCTACTTGAATGTCACATTATCGCGCGATAATAACATCACTACTGGGAAGATTTACAGTCAAGTCATAGAGAAGGAAGTGAGTCTATCAGTCTGGACTTGCAGAAAAACGTTCTGACGGGAGTTTAGCGCAAAGGGGAGTACCTCGGCAAGACGGTCCAGGTAGTGTCTTTGCACGTACATGAAAAACCGTTCTTATGTTCCGCAGATCGTCCCGCACATTACGAACGCGATCCAGGATTGGATCGAACGCGTCTCCAAGATCCCAGTGGATGAATCTGGCGAGGAACCGGATGTCTGTATGGTCGAGCTGGGAGGCACTGTAGGCGACATCGAGTCTGCTCCGTTTGTTGAGGCGATGCGCCAGTTTCAATTCCGGGTCGGCCACGACAACTTTGCGCTCATTCATGTTTCCCTGGTGCCAGACATGCACGGGGAGCAAAAAACAAAGCCAACACAAACAACCGTGCACTCTCTCAGAGGACTTGGACTTCTCCCCGACTTGGTAAGACTGCTTCTATTGTACCAGTTCTGCCGTGCTCATGTCGTCAGATTGCGTGCCGTCTTCTTGTGCCCCAACCACTGAATCCCGCAACAAAAGACAAGATCTCCATGTTCTGTCACGTTGCCTCGGAACAGGTGTTTGGCGTGCACGACGTGACATCCGTGTATCATGTGCCCCTTCTTCTGCAGTCTCAAGGCATCGTAGATTTCCTCCGTAAACGGCTCAAATTAGAGACGGTGAACATCACGAAGGAGATGGAGGATAAAGGGAGATCATTGGGGAAACGATGGAAAGACATAACCATGGGGTACGTTTTCTCAATCACTGTCGCGAACTCGGATCAGATGCATACTTTAGGCAGGAGAGGTTGTTTGACACCGTCACTATTGCGCTTGTCGGAAAATACACCGATCTGAAGGACTCGTACATGTCTGTAACAAAAGCTTTGGAACACTCTGCCTTCCGGGTGCATCGAAAGCTGATCGTTCACGTTCGTCCGCCCATTCTCTCTTTCTCAAACCTTTGCTCACGGCCTCTGTAGTGGGTAGAATCCTCAGATCTGGAGGCCGAGACGCAAGAATCAGCTCCGGCTCGGTACCATGATGCGTGGAGAGCGGTTGTTGGTGCGGGGTAAGCCCACTTCGACAAGGTTCTAGTCCGCTCTTCTGATTCTGATCGTCTAGCGGCATCCTCGTTCCAGGTGGGTTCGGGAACCGTGGCACAGAAGGCATGTTGCTCGCTATTAAGTACGCCCGAGAACAGAAGGTGCCCTTCCTCGGCATCTGTCTTGGTTTCCAGCTCGCTGTGATTGAGTGGGCTAGAAATATCCTGGAGATTCATGGTTGGTCATTTGCCTTCCCCATGATCAATAACTCTGCTAATAATACCACTTGCTTATAGATGCGACTTCATCAGAGTTCGTTCCAGATGCTAAACATCCCGTGGTGATCTTCATGCCTGAGATCTCCAAGACGCACATGGGCGGTACGATGCGGTTGGGGCTGCGTCCCACTGTCTTTGAGCCTGGCACAGAGAACTGGTCTCGTGTACGCAAGCTGTACGGCGGCGCTGGCAAGATTTGGGAAAGGCATCGTCATCGTTACGAGGTCAACCCCGAGTATGTCAAGAGGCTTAATGACAGTGGGCTGATCTTCGCAGGGAAAGATGAGAAGGGCGAGCGGATGCAGATAATCGAACTTCCTGGTTAGTGGTTTTTTTTTGGATTCGTTCTAATTACGACGGCCAGGATGCTGACCTTGCCCCCACTTTTGTTTGTTCAGATCACCCCTTCTTCGTCGGCCTACAAGCCCACCCCGAATTCTGCACCCGTCCATTGAACCCATCCCCGCCCTTCCTCGGGCTCATTGCTGCTGCTTCGGAAACGTCGGTGTTGGATGAGCAAACCGCATTCCAGGCACAGACCTACCACCCCCCGCATCCGAAGCATGCCATGGTTGGGGAGGCGGTCTTGAAAAACTCTACAGAAGAGGTGTTCGTGAACGGTGTTTCGAAGGATGGGCAGAACGGGGTCGATGTTGTGCAAGTTGTGAACCGGGATGAGGCTTAGATTTTAGATCTCATCGGGAAGGACTCGGAGAAGGATCTTTTTGGATGATTTGATGCAGCGCGAACTACACATGTTTTTTCGTAGTTTTGTAAAACCGTATTTGCGGACATGCACTGAAACCTGTTGGGACACACTTCTGCATTACTGTATTCCTTGTATTATACTACCACCCTACTGTGACGTAGAACACTACATAGTTAGATGAGGTGTACCCCCTACTTACCCTGCCCAGCGCCCAGTAAAATTTTACTTCTACATAATTTAAAAAAAACACGTATGTAGTCCTCCGCAATCCAGAATTCTATGCGTCATCGTCACCTATACCCGGTCCCGTCCGGGCACGCAGTGACAGCCGCGAATTTCAAAAACGCAGCGCGCCCTGGCAGATGACTGATTCTTGATAGCGAAAGCCATCAATTGATTGGAAGTTCAAGATCAGGGAGATACATACATCATGTCTCCTCTGATTGTTTACAGTGTACACCAACGTCAGTCCATTCCTCAATCCGCCGCTACTGACGGTGGCGACCAATAGCCAAAAGCCTGCAGGCGACATGTTGCCTGAATGCTGAGCCTCATTGACGTGGAAGTTGTTCAACGGCTTTGAACGGACGGCGGAAACATTTCACGATGGAAGAAATTTTCGATCTCGGACGAGTTGCCATGTACGTTTCGGTGCATGTCATGTGGGGGTTTTTCTCCCAGATTTTTTCGACTTTCTCCTAACTTCCACCACCTTGCGCCATAGCAGGCCTGGATGACGGTTCAATGTCGGAAATAGGTTCATCTAGAACGCGTTTAACGAACTTTTGGAGAGCCTAGGAAGTAGAACTAACCAAAGGTGTCGATCTCCGTCAAGTAAGATCACCCAAGATCTGCCTGAAGTGGACGGCCGATCGGCGCCAAGAACACAAATCCGATGTCATGCCCTTTCAAAATTCAAATGGTGGTAGATAACGAAAACCCGAGAGATAAGGAATTCAAAGAAAAGGCCTGGCGTCGAGCCTTGGAGAAAACTTCACCGCCTGCCTCCCTTCGCCTCTCGCCTCACCACCTAGACTCTCCTCCTACAACTACCACCACCACCACCACTATCCAACAGCCATGGTCCTCCCAGTCGAACCTGAATACGAGCAGGCATGTCGCGTGACTGTCGTCCATCTTAGGGGGAAAATATTAATTTTATGATCTAGGCACTCTCCGAACTCCAAAACAGTTTGAAGCCCTTTTTGGCTGCGAACCCAGACTACGAAAAGGCCCTCGAGATCGTCCAAATTCCGGAGCGTGTGCTCCAATTCCGTGTGGTTTGGGAGGATGATCAGGGCAAAGCCCAAGTCAACCGAGGATTCCGCGTCCAGGTTCGCACTTTTATTATATCATCAACTCAGCGACTGACATTTTTTTGCTTCTTCTCTTGGCAGTATAATTCTGCTCTTGGACCCTATAAAGGAGGTCTCCGACTTCATCCCTCCGTCAACCTCTCCATCCTCAAATTCCTCGGGTTCGAACAAACCTTCAAGAATGCTCTGACTGGCTTGAGCATGGGAGGAGGAAAGGGTGGGTCCGACTTTGACCCCAAGGGCAAGTCGGACGGCGAGATCAGGCGTTTCTGCACTTCGTTCATGTCTGAGCTGTTCAGGCATATCGGTCAGGACACTGATGTTCCCGGTGAGAGTCATCAATCCACATTTTTACTGAGTATAACTCAATGGATTAATTGTAGCTGGTGACATCGGAACTGGTGCTCGGGAGATCGGTTACCTCTTTGGTGCTTACAAGAAACTCCAGAACGAGTTCGTCGGCATGCTCACTGGAAAGGGTCTCGCGTGGGGAGGAAGCTTCATCCGTCCCGAGGCGACAGGTTACGGTCTGATCTACTACGTCGAGCACGTCAGTGTCCCCTTTGCCTTCAAACTCTGACCGTCGGTTGACATTTCCTGCTGCAGATGATCGCCAAAGCCGCCCCGGAGTACAGCCTCTCCAAGCCCGAGACTCTTGTTGCCATCTCAGGATCAGGCAACGTCGCCCAATTCACCGCACTCAAAGTCATCGAGTTGGGTGCTACCGTCCTCTCCCTCTCCGACTCCAAGGGTTCCCTTATCGCCGAGAAGGGCTACACCAAGGAATTCATCAAGGAGATCGGACAACTGAAGCTCAAGGGTGGCGCTCTTGAATCGTTGGCTCAAAGGGAGGGCTACACATACCATGCTGGTAAGCACTATGGTTTTTGAAAGGTTAAACATCGCTAATGGCGCCGTGCAGGCAAACGCCCATGGAGCCTTCTCCCCGTTGTCCACGTTGCGCTCCCAGGCGCGACCCAAAATGAAGTCTCCAAAACGGAGGCTGAAGACCTCATCAAGGCTGGCGTGAGGATTGTAGCTGAGGGCTCGAACATGGTACGCGCCCGTTCTTTCTCCGCAATCGTTTTCAAACCTAATTGTTTCACCAGGGATGCACGGAAGACGCCATCGCCGTCTTCGAAGCCTCTCGTAAAGCTGGCGCTGGCGGCGTGTGGTACGCCCCGGGCAAAGCGTCCAACTGTGGTGGTGTTGCGGTCTCTGGTCTGGAGATGGCCCAGAACAGTCAGCGACTCGCCTGGACGACGGATCAAGTCGACCAGAAGCTGAAGAAAATCATGGCTGAGTGCTATGAGATCTGTCTCAGCGCAGGCACGAAATGGTCGGGTGAGGAGATCAAGGACGGTGTCCTACCAAGCTTGCTCTCCGGCGCGAACGTTGCTGGCTTTATCAAAGTTGCGGACGCGATGAGGGAGCATGGCGACTGGTGGTGAGCCAGTCACACTACTCAGGCCCTTTGTTACGACTTTATGAGGATCTTCTGGGAACTTCTATTTGCTTTCTTAGTTCCGTTTTGGTTTCGATTTCCTATTTACCTGTCATCGCTATGTCCATCGCCATACCTCTTATATTCCCGCACTGTCTGTACTTATATGTAATTCGCACTCCCCCAAAACAATGTATAGGGTTGACCACTCAATCTTGGCTTTGACCAGAGGATATATATACAGCGGCACACTCCCCAAAAGGGGATAAATCTCATCCTCGACACTGTGTCGAGGATGAGAGGACGGGCAACGCAGTTCGACACATCCCAATTGGGTGAGGTGACCAACGCGATGTCACACGTCACTACCCTCTCTTCTCCCAACCCGATGAGCACCCACCAAGATTGGCCACGAGGACCCACCACAAGGATCGACGGACGACGACGAGGGCTCACCAACGTCCACGGGGCCTACCACCAGGATCGACGAACGGCCACGAGGGCCCATCACCACGATTGACGAGGGCCCACCACCAGCATCGATGAATGGCTACGACCGCCCACAATCACGATCGACGAACGGCCACGAGGGCATATCACCACGATCGATGAACGGTCACGATGGCCCGCCACGACGAACGGCCGCGGGCACCCATTGGCACGTTCCTCGACAAACGGCCACGGGCGCCCACGACGATCAGAAATCCCCATTCAAACGCAGACGCCAGCACAAATGCGACGGCGAACCAAACACGAACCCCAGCCCAAACGCAAGTACCCCCACCACGTCCACGTCCATGAAGCGAGCCACGACACAGGCACCAGCAATGCCTGCCAACAACCAGATGCACCGACAATGTTCGCTATCAGTCCGGGGAGTATCGGGGAGAGGGTATGCAGCTTGGATAGGTGTGGGGATCACCATCTTTACATTAGCAATGGGTTATTGAAGGGGAGAGTGTTCCTCGCTGCTTTCTTCCTACTTCTACATAGTAGGTATATCTTTCCATATAAATGTTTTTCTTGTAGATAAGGAATACACATTATGCTGCCATTTACCGAGGACAGAAGGACTTGAAAAAAGAAAAAAAAAAAGAACTGAACTCAGGCACAGCATATGCATCGCTTGGATGTGTCGCACATTCAATGTGCGACACACCTGAAAGGGATGGACACACAGGTGTGGTGATACGTTAGGGATCATGCATCAGGAAAAAGAAAATGTATATATAGATTTCTAATGGGCTATGTACCCAGAGCAGTTTTGTTCAGAAACTCAGTCGCTTTCATTGCTTCAGGTAGTGGCTGATACCCTCTGGTCATGTGCCCATACTCCAGGTATACCCAGCTCATTTGTTCATATACCCAATACCCTCCAATATTCCCAACTCATTTCCCCATAGATCTTGATTGCTTTTCCTATAATGTAGTCCAAGTACTTTCTGCACTAGTAAATATTGAACAACTTGGTTGCTTGATTATTTCAACAACTTCCTTAAGGATGAAATTTATTAGAGGGGCCTACTAGATAGATAAATGAACAAAAACTTTCAGGACATTCATTGCATTAGGGAAAATGGGATTTTAAAATCCCATGAGCCCAATGTGTGCCAAAATTTATACAAGTTCATTGAAACTCTGACACCATGTGACCATGTTGAATTTCAAAAGTAACACAAACACTCTCCTCCTCCCACCACCACCACCATCCTTCCCAAATGCTGCCTCGCATCGTGAAGCACCCACCAAGGGCTAAACAACTTTTATGCCCACATGTTGACTGCCACCTCATGCACTGGAGGCTCAGCAACAGCAACAATGTGTTCATGTCCTCGATAATGACCCCCGCTGCTGCCTCTCCATATTGTCTATGGCCGCCACCACCCACTACCATTGTCAGCTGCCCATACCCACCTCAGCACACACCAACTACAATGGAAACAATGTCCCAATGCCACATCATCTCTGCCATGCCAACAGTGCATGAAGAAGAAGATGTGGCACATCAAGCATGCCTCATCACTGCCCACACAGTCAGGTGAGCACAACATGTTGTAAGCCCTACCAGCCCCTCTCTTTCCCCTTTCTAACTTTTTCAATAGCCACCACTGCCATCATATCACCTGCCAACCACTGCACATCACTGCCTCGCCCTCAGCCACATTTAGCAATATGACATGACACAATGATGACAGCAAACAGCCACATGATGATGGAGATAGACAGATGGACAATGACAATGCAGGTGGCAGTGACAACAGATGACCACAACAATGGTGCACAGCACAACACCAATGACAACAGACAACACAAAAACCATGATGATGGACAACAACAATGATGCATCTCCCTGAGGATACCCTTGTGTCCCTTCATCCATGTGTAATATTACCCATTATTTCCATCTTCCATACTTTCTCAAATACCGACGTTGGGCCTCATTAATCATTATTAGTGTAGCTATTATTGTTGTATTAGATAGCTGAAATTCATATCCCTGGTATCCAAAAAGTGATTTGGATCAAGGAAACTAATAGTCAATGATATCTACAAAGAAATCAGTAAACTCAGGTAGCTCTGGTAGCAAGGTGTACCAGGGTGTATTAGTGTCTACCTAATGGGAAGGAGGGTGTACCCAGGGCTACCTGGTGGAAGGGAAGAAATACCTGGGCTACTGAGATGTCTCAGTAAACTACTGAAGCAACTCATGGGGGGGACTAGAGTACCAGGGTATTATAAATACTAGGGCTACATTGAACTTCCTCTGGAAGGCTATCTTCAATTTCCCACTCAATCTGAGTTGTGCTTTGATGCCACTTAGTATGAGTACTAGGAGCTTGATGTTTGGTGGTTAATGGTGAGCTGCAAAGTACCTTGAAGAGGTGCTCAATTCTAGGCAGACGTCCTCCTGAGTGAATTTCGAAGTCTGCTGATCTCATTGTGGGGAAGAGCATTCTTTCCAGGGCACTGGTCACCATACAATCCCATATCCATTACAAGAACTGAGACAAGAGAAATAGAGATTGAGACAGAAACAACTTTAATATCAAGGATGAGGTGTACTGGTGTAGCAAGGATATGGGATCCTACCCTTCCTCTTTATGTTTTACTTTCCATTACTTAGTATTTGTGTCACATAACTCATTTCTATACTTGTCAGTAGTAGTCATGTAACAATTCACCTTCTTAGGGTCTGTCCACTAACGAGAATTCATTTTCATCTCATATTCATCTTCATTTTGATGGCTGGTCACACACCAAATTGGGCAACAACGACAACTGGGCTCCTTGCACAACCCACATTCTGTTGTTATAGTTTCTATCACAAGAGGCAAACTGCATCTGTTGCCTGGTGAAGAGTTAATAAAAAGGAGATGACTATGTTAAATTCTCAATCTCACATTAGTGTCAAAAATGTTCAAATGAAAAAGATTCATTGTTATCTCAACTTTGCAGCCACAAAAAGGTGATGATGTGTATGTCAAATATTTATTGGTAGTTTGTTAGTGCAGGAATGACTGAGAAATAAAAGAAATCTTGCCAGGAAAGGAAGATAAAGAAAGACCATGTTTTACCTTTGCAACAATGATGAGGCAACTATTTGATGTCATTGAAAGATCTTTCTGGCCTGAGGGAACAGAAACAAAGAGTTAAAATTATTTCTAAGGGTTCCTTTGTTTAAGAGGGTTAAATTTAATTTCCTTGATTGCTGTTTACATTGCCAAGAAAGACCTTTCAATGTCATTAAATAGTTGCTTCACCATTGTTGCCCAGATAAAACAGGGTCTTTCTTTATCTTCCTTTTCTGGCAAGAATTTCTTTTGTTTCTCTACTCTAACAAACTACCAATAAATATTTTACATACATGATATGACTATTTTGTGGCTGCAAAGTTGAATGAGCAATGAATCTTTTCTATTTGAACATTTTTAACACTAATGTGGAATTGACTATTTAACATATTTATCTCCTTTTTATTACCTCTTTGCCAGGTGATGAATGTGGTTTGCCCCTTGTGTATATACAACACAGTAAGTATCCTACTGTCAGCTACAGTCAACATCCTCACAATGCATAACGCCGGTCCCCAGCTTTTTCTATGCATTGTGAGGTTGTATGCAAGGTGAAATGTGTCACAAAGTGTGACTATTCGTGACCTCTGCTAAAAATGTCAGGCTTCCAAAATCATTATGTAGCAAGGCGAAAACTAGAGTATTTACATGTCATCCATGGGGGAGCAACTATTATTGAAAAAAGAGTTGAGAGATGTTTGTTGGAATGAATTTGCTTGAACACTGTGAAGATGAGCCCTCAAGGCCTCAACTTGCGCAACTGTTGTTGCAAAAGCAGTGTTGACATGCCACGAGCCTCGGAGTGGGTGACACACAGCTTCTCCAAATGGTATTTGTGGCACATAGGCAGATCAGGGTAGATTTTGGCCCCAAAAAAATCAGGTACCATGAGCTGAACAAGAAAATACCTGGTGAATCTGTAGATTTGGTCGTGCATAATCACAAAATCCAGTATGCATTATTCAATACAATATTTCATGCATAAATCCCTGTGTACCGAGTCGGTCCCCAGAAAATCTCATGCATTGTGATATTTATGCATTATTACTATATGCATTGTGAGGATGTCGACTGTAGTATTTCTTTGCAATTTTTATTTAGCAAAAATCATGCATATTTATTTTATTCATGTAAATTACATACAGTCAATCTTTATTTAAATTACCCACTTGTTGGTTTGGCACCCATAGGCTGCTGTGGAACCTATAAAAAAGCCCATGGCATAACTTGATTGGTAAGGAACAGGAAACTTTGTTATTTTTCCTTGAAGCATTTCTGTAAGAAATAATTTTGGACAGCAACAGAAACCTGACTACATTCCAACTACATTTGATAAATTTGTATTGATGGGGAGCAACTAGATACATGGACACTTCAGCTGCTTTGGAGCCAATCCAGCATTGGGGGAGGGAGCAAGGAACAGGCAATGAGACCAATCAGAGTCAATTGAGTGAGAATTCATACCACAGGAAGACCCCAGCATACTCCAGACATGCCATCAAATGAGGATGGAAATGAGATGAAAATGAATTCTCGTTACTGGACAGACCCTTACTTCTCTACCACCACTGCATCTATTGCTTCAAACAGGTGTTTTATTGTAGTTCACTCTGATAGGCAAGTGTTATTGTGTATTATC